ATAATATATCACCCGATCGTCGCGCAAAAGCCATTCTGACTCAAGAAATCGTAAACCAGGCGATCGAAATCCTTAGCGGTTCAGACACAAGTGCGAATCAAAGATATAAACGCTGGGTATTGCAAAAGTTCAGCATGATGCATATTGGCGAAATGAAAATTCTGCTACTCAAAAGAAGTAAAAAACCCGTGTGTGCTAGAGAGAATATGTATGTTGTAATCTGTTCTACACATCACGATTTACAACACGCTGGCTACAGAAAGACATTTGAAGAACTCCAACACCATTACAGTTACATTCCTAGAAAATTAGTTGCTGCATTTGTTAATGCATGTAGCATTTGCACGCATTAACACAATGTCGTAATTGTCATATTTCAGGAATGTTAGACGTTTACTAGTGCATTGTGCGAATATGAGTATACGTGAAATGGTAGAGAGTAGAGTGCGAGAATGTGCAATTAAAGAGGGATACACTAACATTTCCTTAGTTTGATCCTTATTCTGATGATATGAGTAATAAATATTGCTGTAGTGAGAGGAGAGTGCAGAGTAAGCGAGACGCAATAGAGGATATGTATCTTTTTTGTCATAGATTGAATAAACAATGTGCATTCAGCATATGCGACTGCGTTAAACATTAATTTTTCTTTTTATTATTATGTTATTCATATTTTGCTATTCATGAATAAATTCACTTGTTCGAGTGTTCAATATTACGTTGATATTATCGTTGCGCATTATGAAGTGATATAATCGAGTATGTTGATCATCACATACAACAATTCTGAAGTGGGTTGACCCATTTCAGGATTCGGAAATGGGTCGACCCGATTCGGAAGTGGGTCAAATTCGGATATGGGTCAGAACATAGATAAAGGCGCTTTCAATGCGCCAAATTAGCAGTATGGATCGAGTATGTTTTTTAGCTTTGTCGATTATCAATTATGTACTAGTTTTCTTTAGTTCCGAATAATTGCCAATATTTTTTTATTTATTTAAAGCTCGTCGACACCTTTGGCAAGGACTTGAACTTTATAAACCAGAAATCACACTAATGGAATGGGGATCGTAATTTTAATGGAATCAAAAAGCGATTTAATACCGACAGCAGGAACAAGAATGAGCATGCTATCCCTGTCTTGGCTGGCGGACCTGGGACTGGAAAGAGTAGATTTCTTGATGAAATTCAAAACCTACTAAATGAATACGCTCATGCTTCTAATGATCAAAAAGTCATCAATGCTTTCAAGAATATGATTGTTGTCAATGTTACGTACAGGAATGGAACCACTGCTTCGAATACGGATAAAATATTGGGCAGTGAAGCATCACTTGCAATGCGCCTTTTTTTTGCGTACTTCCATCCTACATCCAATTTTGACAAATTCATCTCATTATGTCAGCAGAGCAGCCCAGACCTCAGACTCTCCACTGCCATGCAGGTTATCCGGCAGCACGTATCCATGAATCTTGACGATAGAGTCGCTCTGATTGTTGGCATCAATGAATTTAATAAGTTGCACGACATAGATCAGTCAACCTCGAGGAGCCTTATAACCAGTATTGGAGGACAAATGTGTAAAGCGCCTAAAGCATTTTTTTTTGTTCCCATTGTTGCCAGTACTATTGAAGGACTTATATATATGTATCCACAGATTTTCCTCCCATTGCCCCTTCTTTCAGATGATAGGGCATCAAAATTAGCCGTGCAATCATTTGCGATGATGATTACATTGCTTACAACCATTATTTCTGGCGCTGCATTGGTGATATCAGAGGTCACGTTAGGAACATTGGAATTCTTTCTTGAGAAATTCTCGGAACCAAAGCTGCTGCTGAAGTTAAAGTCAAAAAAATCATGTCATCTAAAATTTGGGATGATGAGTTCCTGATTGTGTATTGTACTGTAGTATTTAATTTTTTATCATTATTTTAGTTCTAATTTTACTATTATTATCTGTCATTCGCATTACAATTATCTTCATACGTGAGTGGATGGAAGCGCGTTGACTCTTCTCCGAGAGTGTACACGGTAGTGGATGGAAAGTTTGATTCAGGTGGGTAAATAACATTTGCATC